CTCTCCCTCGTTCTCTCCCTCTTTTTGCAGGGCCCACGCCAATTCCAATGGCGGGCGCACGTACGCCCACGAAGGGTTGTCCGCCCGTTCAGGTTTGCCCGCCTGTCTAAGCCCGCCGCCCCCCGCAAAGAGAAAGAATTCCCCCAAAGGGCGTGTGATCGAAGACAAAAATGGCGGGTATCCAGGGTGTGGGGGACCCGCTTTGCATGACACGCGGGCAGGTAAGAGCGAACAGTCTTAGAACGATTGTTGTTGTCGTTGCTGCTGCTGCTGTTGTTGTTATTGCTGTTGTTGTTGTTGCTGTTGCTGTCGCTGCTGGTGTTGTTGTTGCTGTTGTTGTTGTTGTTGGTGTTGGTGTTGGTGTTGGTGTTGGTGTTGGTGCTGCTGTTGTTGTCGCTGTGTTTGTTGATGTTGTTGCTGATGCTGTTGTTGTTATTGTTGTTGTCGTGGTGTTGCTGTTGTTGTTGTTGTTGATGCTGTTGCTGTTGCTGTTGCTGCTGCTGTTGTTGGCGGTTTACAACAACAGTGGTTCCCGCCTGATTCTTCCTCATAAGTTATTGAAGAATCGCGTTTTCGCTTGGGACTCCCTTGCAATTTACGAATGGATCGCGGCTCCCGCTTGATATTTCCTGGCCGTTTATTGAAGAATCGCACTCTTACTGGGGGCTTCCGCGTTCCTCTCGACACCTCTGCAATTCTCATTATCCTTCCGCCCAACTCTCCCAACATCCCGTTTTTTTCATGGTGCCACGAAACTTGTTTCAGACACCAGTTCGCAGTTGTACGTCCCCCCCGTGGGGATATCCACGATCTGTTCTTTCAAGGGGGTGGTACGTGGCGCTGTTTATGGCGCGACCCATGGAGAAACGTATTGTTAACCTGTGTTGGAGTGGCTGGCGCAAACCATGGCGCAAGCTGACTCGCCACTCGCAGCGCAAATCATCATCCACCCTCCTTTTTGCCCCTCCTCTCCCTTCCTCCGATCCTTTCGTCCCCACTATCCCGCGTTATCCGTTACCCTTCGTATTCGAGGGCTTCACCAACCGCGCGTGGCAGGGAATGACTGTAGCCCCCAAAAGGGGGCACGATCGAAGACGAAGAGGGCGGGTATCCAGGGTTTGGGATATGCATACTGAATGACACGCGAACAGATAAATGCGAACAGTCTTGAAATCATGGTTGTTGTTGTTGCTGTTGCTGTTGTATTGTTGCGGCTGTTGTTGTTATGGATGTTGCTGTTGTTGCGGATGTTGTCGTTGTTGCTGATGTTGATGATGTTGCTGTTGATGTTACCATTGTTGCTGTTGTTGTTATTGTTGTTGTCGTTGTCGTTGTCGAGGTTGTCGAGGTTGTTGCTGTTGTTATTATTGTTGATGATGTGTTGCTGCTGTTGTTGTCGTTGGTTTGTCGCGGTTGCTGTTGTTGTTGTTGCTGATCGCTCTTGCTCTTGATATTGTTGTCGATGTTGATGTTGTGATGTTGTTGTAGTTGTTGTCGTTGTCGTTGTCGTCGTCGTCGTCGTCGTCGTTGTTGTTGTTGTTGTTGTTGTTGCTGCTGTTGTTGTTGTTGTTGTGGTTGTTGTTGTTGTTGTTGGCGTTGTTGTTGTTGTTGTTGTTGTTGTTGTTGTTGTTGTTGATGTTGCGGTTGTTGTTGCTGTTGTTGTTGTTGCTGGTGCTGTTGTTGTTGTTGTGGTTGTCGTTGTGTTTGTTGTTGTTGTTGTTGAACATTATTTCTTCTTAAGAATAATTATTGTTGGGACCCCTGGTGCGCGCCCCCCCCGCCGCGCCTAGGCCGCAGCCACATTTTCATCATTTTCGTGAGGAAGTCTCAGGCAAAACGATGTGATCCAGATCCGGTTGTTTTGTTCCCCCCCGCTTTCCCTTGCAAAAACACAATATAAAATGAATTTCTTGTTCTAACATAACCAAACTTCAAGAATCCCTTGCAAAAAATAAGGTAAAGTGGGCATTCGCGCGCGCAAGACGCAATCCTTCCAAAACCCTAGTTTTCGTAGCGATTTTAACATAAAAACATCAAAAATCAATGGTTTTTCAAAAAAAAAAAGTGTCAAAATTTCATCCCGCGCGCTCTTGCGGATTGTAGGAAACCCAACACTTTTTAAACATTTCTGTCAAACGGGCTTTTGCGAGCAACTTTTTCGAACTTCTGCAACAACGGTTGCGCACCTGCCAGGCCATCATCCCTGTCAAATAATCCCATGCGGGACACATTCGTTTTTTCTTCGCGCGCGCACGCCGTCGTCGTCGGCCGCGGGGCCCTGAATAGTAGCCACGTCGTCCGCATGCCACGAAGTGAAGTGTCCGAACGTCATAGGGCGGGAAGCTGGGTGTGGGTGGTGGCGAAGAGTCGTTTGGAAATTTGGTAGAGCTTGAACCGGCCCCCCCACAAAGTGGGGGTATTGCCCGCCTCCTATGAAAACCCTGGCACTGGTGAGAACGGAGTGTCCCCACGTGCTAGTAATTGTTGTTGTTGTTGTTGTTGTTGTTGTTGGTGGTGGTGGTGTTGTTGTTGTTGTTGTTGTTGTTGTTGTGAATGCGAATTACCACGCAGTTACTAGTATTGTTGGACCCCTTCCAAGCGCCTTGGCGCTCTCGCCGAGGCACCGGCTGCATTTTCATAGCAAACGAGGCTCACTCTCAAGCGGCTCGGGGGGCCGCCAAAACCGGCCCCGCAACAATCACAACGCTCCCGTTCGAGACTTCCTCTTTTTTTGCTCAGGGACGGTGCTCTTGCTCGCCGCCGAACGCAGCCGTCTCAACAAAACCAGCGCTCCCGCTCGAGACATCCTCCGCTTTACCTTGGGCAGGCGCGCTACTCTTTCTCACATCGGCGCCGCCCCCCAGCAACAACAACGCTCCCGCTCGAGACCTCCTCCTTTTTTTACTCGAGGCGGTGCTCTTGCTCGCCGCCGACAGCCCCCGTCTCGGCAAAACCAGCGCTCCCGCCCGAGATTTCCCCCGTTTTGCGCTGGACTGGCGCCCTTTTCTCCTCCTCGTCCTCCTCTTCCTCCTCCTCCTCTTCCTTGTCCTCCTCGTCCTCCTCCTCCTGTTCCTCCTCCTCCTCCTCCTCCTCTCCTCTCCTCCTCCTCCTCCGCTCCTCCTCCTCCCCCCCCCTCTTCCCTCCCTCAAATCCTTCCTCTCTCCCGTCCTCTTCTTCCCTCCTCCCCTCATTCGTCGTCCTTCCCTCTCCCTCCTCCTCCCTCCCCGTTATCCTCCCTCTCCTACTCCTCCTCGTCCTCCTCGTACCTCTCCCCTCCTCCTCCTCCTCTCCTCATTTCCTCTCCTCCTCCTCCTCCTCCTCCTCTCCTCCTCCTCCTCCTCCTCCTCCTCCTCCTCCCCCCT